TTGGGATGCTTCACTCACGCAGTTAATGAACTTACTGAGCATTGATCGTGCACCAGGCCCTGCTGAGGCTCTAGAGATTCCTTGACATGAGCCTTCCCTCAGAGTCCAGCCTTGTGGGCCTGTAAACAGGGAAAAAAAGCTCCTTCTCACTAGTAATCAGGGGAGGTTGCAAATTAAAACTGCAAGAGAGGATTTCATGCCCATCAGATTGGCAAAAATCAAAAAGTTGGACAATGTCAAATATTGGCAAGAATGTGAAGCAATATGAATCTCATCCATGCTGGTGGGAGTATAACTTGGTCTATACGATTTGGAAGAGTTTCACTTTTTGTAGAAAAGTTGAATGTGTGTATGACCTGTGCTCTAGAAATTTCGCTGTGGTGTAAATACATGGAGAGATGCCCGCTCTTGGGTGCCAGGAGACACATACAAGAATGTTCCAAGGAGCATCATTCGTAATACTGGAAACAAGACTGTCGACCCACAGGAGAGCACATAGATAAATTACTATGTATTTATACAGTGGAACACTATGATGATGAAAATAAAGGAAGCAAGAAGCCAGTTACGGAATGCATACAACATGATTCCATTTATACAGCGTTCAAAAACAGGTAAAGCTAAAATAATGTGTAATGTAGGTTGATGGCAAGGAAATTATTAACAGAATTCAGGATAATGGGTTATTTTACCTTTAAAGGTAAGGAGGAACACATGGAGGTTTCTAAGATATTGCCAGAGCACTGTAAATAGTCGTTTCTTATATTAATATTACATCTTGTAAATTGTGCATATGCATTTCAGATACACACACAGAGTTATTAATATGTTACATGACAGGCAAGAGGAAGTACAGGTGACACAGGAATGCACAGCAGGGGCGTTTAACCCACATTAGGGCAGCCAGGGAAGGTAGGTAGGACTTAGCAAGGCAGATCAGTGTGGGCAGGGGGGCGTGGGAATTCCAGGAAAGGAAATGGTAGTGGGAGGGGACAGAGACCCAAGAACGTGGCCTCCCTGGGAACTAAGAGGAGTTGGAACTGGACAGCAGGGGGTGGGAGATGAGGCTGTAGGAACCAGGAGGGTCCAGCTCTCAGGGCTCTTGCAAATCATGTTAAGAAGTGTGGTCTTATCTGGAGACTAAAGGGAGTAGGAGTGAGATGCATTTTGGAGGAAGGTTATCTCAATGCTTATACTGTCTGAGCCTTGGCTCCTCCTCTGCCCCCATCCCCCCTCTTGACCCTGGCTTGCTCATGGTCTCTGGCTTTCATGTTGGCCTTGTCCAGATCTGACCTCTCTTCCCTTCCTATTGCCAAGTGCTGCCAGGACTGCGGGAGGTGACTGAGATGCTCAGGGCATGAAACTGAAGGGCACCCAGAGAGGGGGTGTCCTGCCCCGCTCTGCCCCGTATCCTCACTGGCCTGCATCTCGGGCCCTGTGGCCACTCTGCGAGTGAGTTTCTGGTCTTCTTCCCGCTCTTCCCAGGCCTCAGCCCCCAGCCTGCCTCCTCCTCGTCTTCCTCCCCCAGCCTGCTGGCTTTGGCTTTCCACTCTTGTCTCAGCTTTTGCAGCCAAGTTAGGCGAGACAGCTACACATAAAAAGATAATTAACCACCTAAGCCAAGAAATAAGGACCACATGAGTGGTACAAATCATGTGTTCCAAGACGTTGGAGGAACTGGGCCAGGCTGGCTTTGGATGGATGGAGAGCAGGAAGGAGGCTTTCTGGACTAAGAGAACAGTGGGAACCGTTTGCCAAGAGCAAAAAGAGCGCGTTAAAAGTCACAAGGAGATAAGAGCTAGAAAGGATTTGGGATCTGGTCCTGTGGACTCGGCTATCAAGTACAAGGCTGAGGTGCCACCACCCTCAATCCCTTACCTATGGCAAGCATAACTAATAAATTGTGGCATGCCTTTCCTTTGAGCCAGGAGAGAGCCTCAGGGTCCTTCCTGACACAGTGCTTCAGAAGGACGTTACGTGCGAATGGATTTAACACAGGAGTGTAGACTCATTTGCTATCCCTGTCCCAGACTGTGGAGTGATCATGAGGCTTTGAGTAGGAGAGATGCTCTCACTGCATCCTGTTGCCTCGCCTCCCATGTCTCCTTGTTTTAGCCCAATTTCAAGCTCTGTCAGCTGTATCTCAAACACTGGGCATCATTTGAGGCATTGGCAAGAAAACTCGAAATCATGGCATGCCAAAAGGAGAAGGGATCTAAGACACCATTGAGTCCAGCTCTGCCATTTGGCAGCTGGGGGAAACTGAGTCTTGGGAGGGGGAGACTTGTTTATGTAAGTGCCAAATACAAGACATGACCCTGACCTTGTACCTTGTCCTTCCCCAACCTGGGAAGGACAAGGGACCTGACCATCCTGAGAACCTACTGCATGCCTGTCTTTGCTTGTGGGAGCTTTTCATGTACAGCATCTCTTTTAAACCTCCCAGGGAATCATGATTCCCAATAAAAAGGCAACTGACATCCAACTACAGATGCAAGTCAAAGGTTAATATGTGACAGAGCCAGGATTCCATCTCGCTCCACCAGCGCCTGAGACCCACACGCTTTCTCGTAGTTCCAGGTGGATGCTTCAAGCCTTTGCAGAAATGATGACAGGATTCGGGTTTTCCAGGAAGGGCTGGCGGTGATGGTAACTTTGCTCTGCCCTAGGTGATGGTTATTTACCACCTGCTTTAGGTCTTTGGTCACCTCCGGCGGGCAGCCCCAGCAGCAACTGTAGACACATCCAAACATTTCTGTGGCCGGGACTTTCTCTCCAGTGAGTTCACGGTTCCACTAGACGAAGCCACCTGATACTGCCCACGATCATTTGATGACTTCCCGGGTTTTATGACATTAATTTAAGCTCTGCAGCCAAAGTAACTCTCTTTGGTTGCAGCCATATGCACTTAAATGTCAGAGATTTGCTGAAAAACCACTTGGGTTTGAAGAAAGTCACTGTGTTCAGTAAAATCTGGCCACATTTTATGTTTATGGCTTTTATTAGGGCGTCCAGCTGAGCCAGTTAAAACCATGTCTCTATAGTCGGTGAAAACCCAGGACTCTCAGATGACTGGATTCACTCATTCAAATAATAGCTACTGAATATATACTCAGTGCCAGCTGCTGATGTACGCAGTCGGAAACACAGACATGGTCCTTGTTTTCATGGCATGTATAGTCCGGAGAGGGGAGACAGACATTTAAAGGATAAATACATAAATGAAAGTATTGTGAATAAATGTTACTAAGGAAAAGAGCGGGGCACTACAGGTATCCAGAGGGGATCTAATTTGGACTGGGTGGGTCAAAGAAGGTGATATTTGAGCTGGGAACAAATGGGGGGAGCAGGGGGTGGAGGATTATTCCAGGTAATGGAATAGCAGCTGCAAAGGCACAGAGACAGGAAAGAACTTGGTGTGGTCAAGCGACATGTTACTTGGTGCCCATCCAGAAGCCACAGGGTCCAACCTTGGGCTGACAAGCTGTCAAGTGTCCCTCGTGCCTGTGACACTCAGCATGTGACTTCACCTTGTGTACAAATTAGAATTTTCATCTTCGTGGTTGCTTCCTATGCCCTGTTCCCTGTGACCTGTCCTGCCTTCTCTGTGACCAGCCTTGGTCTTCATTTCTCAGCCACCCCTTTGGTACCCAGCTCCCTGCTCCTCCCTCCTCCTGGCATCCCCCACCCCTGGAGCTCCCCACGCGGAGCTGTCGCCCTGTCCACAGCTTCCCACCAAGCCCAGATTAGGGCTGTGCCAGGGGGGCATGGTGCAGGGGAGGGAGTAGTCCAATTTGCACCTTCGAAAGATCACTTCATCTGCTGTGTGGCAAAAAGGCTGGAGAAAGAAGACAGGAAGAAGGACAGCAGGTGTTTGGAGACCATGGCAGAGTCCGGATGAGAGACAACAGTGGCCAGGATAAGGGAGGTGGCTGCAAGGATGGGGAGAAGGGCTAGACAGTGAGTGGCACTGCTCCTTGTACTGTGTGTCTAAAGGCACGAGGGGAGGGGCCGCCGCCGTTCTGATTAGAGTGAGGGCAGATGCGTCCACTCTGCAGTGAAACGGTGAACCGACTCTTTGAGAAACAGGTCTCCTAATAAAAGAGCTTTGTTACGAATCATGATCTGTGTTGTGTTGTTGAAATGGTCAAGTAATAGCCTCTGCTCCAGTTGCAAAAAGAATAATTATTCTGACTCTTTGAGTTGTCAATAACTTATTCACAGTATTCACAGGCTTTCATTAAAAATCTGAGCAAAGCGAATTGGAAATCAGCACCATCCCCAGAACGTACGGGTCATGGACATGAAGGTGCACAGCCTGGGCCTTCAGTGCCACCCGCTCCTGGTCCTCAGAACCACCCCTGGACGTGCTAAGTCCTTGCAAAGCATGGTCAGCACGGGGAAGTGTTGGCTCTTCCTCGAGCTTCTTTGGGATTGGACAGATCTTTTTGTCTTCAAGACCAGATATGTGGCCTTGGGCAAGGGACATTCTTTAGTCTCCATTTCATCACTTGGAACTGGGGATAATAAAGATGGGTTAGGAGAAGGGTGTCTGGCTCTTTCCTTGTGGTGATCCCTAATCCTTGACCAGGCCCATGTGATCCATTTGAAGAGGGACTTCCCTGCTGGTCCCTCTCTGCCCCACACTGCTGCAGAGACCATCATCAAGGGTTTTGTTAATTTCTCTCCCACCGGCAAAGAGAACCCAAATCTCTGGTCACAAAATGTCTGGTCTCTTCTTTGGCAGGGTGGGACTCGTGGGTGGAGGAAAAAGTGCATTAATCTTTTTGCTGGTAAATCCACAGCAATAAGAATCAAGACATGAATCAATGACTCAATACTCATCCTGCTACAGGAGTAGAAATAAGGTCCCGCTCACTCCTTCACAGACAGTGGTCTGATTTCTCTGCACTCATTCTTGTGTTGAGTGGTCACCTGGGGCCTGGTGCAGAGGTACAGCCAGGTCCGGGAACTGACAAGTGGCTCTGTGTCTTCTGCAGGTGTGGCAGTGTGGCGGGAGCGTGGAGGTCCTGCCCTGCTCGAGGATTGCCCACATCGAGCGAGCCCACAAGCCCTACACAGAAGACCTCACTGCCCACGTCCGCAGGAACGCCCTCAGGGTGGCTGAAGTTTGGATGGATGAATTTAAAAGCCACGTCTACATGGCATGGAACATACCCCAAGAGGTAAGAATCACCAGTGAGGATGGGTTTCTTGGAGTTTGATGGAAAAAACAAAACATGGGACCAAACTCTTCCTCCCTTGGGTCAACCAGAATCTTGTTTGCCGTGGTAGAATGGTCTCTTACTCCAAAAACATATATTACATGCTGAAGAAACGGGGCTGACAAGAGGCTCTAAGCTGTTCCTTATTCCCAGCCCCATCCCCAGTCAGCATGCTTGACCTTAGTGTCCTCACTTTAAATGAGAAAGTTGAACCAGGTGGCTCCAAGTTTCCTTCATGCTCTGAGGTCCTCAGCTTCTCTGACATTAGCTGTTCCATGGTCCTGGATTAGAAATATACCAGTAACTACAAAAATTCACAAAATGCATCTTAATCTCCTTATAGACTGGATTTGAGCTTCTCCATTGAACCTTTAACCAGAGTAACAAAGAAGATCCACATGCCTTTGAGATTTCTTGAGCCATGAGGATGGGGATGAGATGCACTCCCATAGGGACCCTCAGTAGGACATTTGTTTTGGACATTTTTTTAAGCTGCTTCTGACCTTCATAGAGCCTTATCATTGCCTGCCACTATCTTCTATCTCTCTAGTCACTCTACACTATTCTCTCTACACTTAAGAAGTGCCCGAGAAAAAGCAGTGTTTTCTCTAGTGGTTTTGTTAGCCTTGCCATGTGTCATATGGAAATGACCTTGGACCGCTGAGTTGGGAGAGGCCAACAGATGCCAGCCACAGGACTCCAACCTGCTTACTCGCGTGTCTGCCTGCAGTCCATTGCTTATGCTGCATTCTGTGTGACCACATGACCTCTTTATTTCCTCCTAAGGCCAGGGTGTCCCCTTGGGAATCCTTTAGAAAGCCTCGGCTTTCTTTCTAATGGGGAAAGGACTGATCTTTGCTTAAAGTTTCCATATAAAGGTCCTGTTCCCTGAACTCTATCCCAAGGTAATGTTGCTCTAGTTAAATGGGTGAGAAAGGAGGCTGGGCCTTGGGTGGGGGCTTTTAGGCCACCACTACCCCCACCACAGGGGAGGGGGACTGGAGCTGGGTTGCATACTCTCCCACCAGTGAGATTTCAGCAGTCAGGAAGAAGAATGAGGATCAAGGAAATAGCAGCCCAGTGCAGCCAACGCCCAAATGAACCAGCCCCGGGATTGTATCCCTGACAGCAAGAATGTTTCTAGGGAAACCATGGTGCCTTCTGGACTCGTCTGTGGCATTCGATCATATTATTCTACACAGGTGCTGAGCCCTGTTGTGGGTGTCCTCTGATGGCAAAAATGTTAAGAACACTTGGAAACTAGCCAGGACCTCACCCATGAGCATCGCAGGTCCCCAGGCTCTGCTTAGGACTGCAGTCCTGTCACACTCCCACCCCGCTTTTCCTCTGTCCCCTAGAGCTGCACACCTTCCAGCCCTCTCCCCTCTTGCTGCTGACAGGTGTTGAAATGCACAGTAACGCAATGAATGGTAGAGAACGGAGGGAGAGAAAATCATTGGAAAATGATGAAACTCAGTGTCTGTGACTCCTCAAGGGGGTGGTTCACACGAAATCAAGTAGGTGGGGGAAAGTGAACACAAGACAGATAAGAGGTGGAATTGTCCAGGACAAAGCCTTATGGAGAAGGAAGGGGCCAGTGTGTTTCCTGGAAAACTCTCTCTTCATGTACCTGTTCCCTCTGTGTCTAAACGCCCTCTCCTTCCTCTTATCAAACTCGTGCAGAGAGTCAACACGTTCTTACCTCCCAATCACTGCTCAAGCCACATCCCCGATATGCCACGGAAACTGCTTTTGTCAAACCGACAAGGGCCTCCCCACTGCCTCATTTAATGGACATTTTAAAGTTTTTAACCTATAGGATTCCACCCTTTTCCTGAAACGGTGGTCCCTTGGCTCCATGATCCCACAGCCCAGGCTCTCCTCTCTCTCTCATTGTCCTGACTCCTGTGGGTTCCTCTTACCTCCAGTGGGTGCTCATGTGCTCCCTGGGATCCATCCTTGGCCTACTGCTCTCATTGTACACCATCTTTCTGGGTGACCTCATCTACTCTTGGGTTTGACCCATACATCCTAATCTTACTGCCACCCATACATCCTAATTAATGCCTTCCTAATTAGTATCTCCAGCCCTGACTTCTGCCTTTACTTTCAGGCTGAATCTCCAACTGCCAGCTGGCCCTTTCCTCCTGGGCATCCCCACAGGCACTCAGACTGAATCTGACCAACACATCTTCTTCCCCCAGATCTGCTCCTGTTCTCACTCTCTGTCTCCATTCATGGTGCCGCCATCTGCCTGGACACATGAGCTAGAAACTGAGCAACGGCCCCTTGGTCTTTCTCTCTATCAGTCCCCACTCCCCACTGCAAGCCCTCTTTCCCATCCCTGCCTCCTCTCACGTCTGCATGCAGGCCCAGTCTCTTCATCTGCAACAGCCTCCAACTGGTTTCCGTGGCCCAACTCTTGTCCCCTTCAAATCTGTTTCCCAAAGTTATCTTCAAAAAACTAGTAGCAACTATGCTATTGCCCTACTTAAAATCTTTAAACAACTCTCCCCTGTGTATAAAATCAAGTACGAAGCCATACTTGACACAGCGTCTTGAGTTCCCATGCTCCCTCCTCTGCCTGCATCTCCAGCCACTCTTTGTTTTGGAGACTACACAGACGACACGGACTGTGGGAACCACCCATAACTGTCCACGCCATGCTGTTTCTCACATCTGTGCGGTTGCTAATTCTGTTCTTTCTGCTTGGAATTCCCTACCCTCTACCTCTTCCCCAACACCCACCGCTACCAAATCTTCATCATCCTTTGAGACTCTATCCATAAAGCCAGCTCCGGCTGGGGAAAGCGCCCTCCCTCCCACACAGGTCCCTGTCATTGCTTCACCAGCGGTGAAAGAATGCGCTGTTGTCTGAAAGTCTCTCTTTCTCATTAGACCAGTGGCTCTCCAATCCAACTGAACTTTAAAGTCACTTGCTCTCCACCTCCAGAGATTATGACTTAATTGGTATGGAAGGGGCCCCTGGAGTCTGTTTTTTTAGAAAGCAATTCAGGGGATTCTAATGTCCATCCAGGGACAGGAACCACTGCAATAGACCGTGAGCTACCCGAGAATGGACTGTGCTGTTCATGTGTGTGTGTCGCCATTCCCACATGAGGCTGGGCACATGGAGAGAGCTCAGGGAAACCTCGCTGCTGCATATCAGTGAGCCAATCTGCTGGCAGGGTGTGTGATAGCTTTCTTCCTTGGGCAGTGGCTCCTAAAAGCAGATCTTCAGACCAACCGCATCAGAATCATTTGGAGATCTTTTAACAATTACTCATCTGGGTCTCATCCTCAGAAATTCTGGTCAGTAGGTCTGTAGCAGTGCCAGCATCTGTGAAAAGCTCTCCAGGTGATGGTTCAGGGTAGCCAGGTTTGGGTGACACGAATTTAGTTAATCCTGCTCATCTCTCCAAACTCACCTCAAGCATCGCCTACTCCAAGAAGCCTTCTTTGACTGCTCCCCTGCTCCCTTGCCCACCATCCACAACATAACATGAATTAAGGCCCTTTCTCTCTCCTCCCTAACACTTTCTATTTCCTCCCATGCTTCGCACTGTGTGCAGAGAGCCTGTTTACTTGTCTGAATCTCCCAGACTCTCCTTTCGGGCAAAGACTGGGACTTACCCCTGTTGGTATACACAGTGTTTAGGACGGCGTCTGCCACATAATAAACAGGCACTTGGTAAAGATGAGTAGAAAGAGAAAGAAGAGGGAGGACGTGTGGATGCTCCACGCTCTCCATGGTTTCCCTGGGAGGTTTCCCAGCTGCCCCTGACGTGGTGGCGTCCCAGCACCTTCTGCTCAACCACAGGCACATCTGTTCCCAATGTACTTAACCTTTCGTCTGCAGCATCCCAGCTGCAAACGTAAAGCTGGAGGCCATCAGCTCTGCCCAGGCGGCTGCCTCGAGGATTAAATAAGTTAATATATGTAAAGACTTTGATCAGTGCTTGGCACATAGAAAGTGCTAGAAAAGCGTTAACTCTTGTTGATGCGATCGTTTATGCCCCGTGCATTCTTTCTGCATATTTAAAATGCCCTTACTGGGCAGACGTCCTCAGCTCGTTGCTGGCTGTGCACCGAGCAGAAGTAGCCCCCTCACCTGCTCCCTCACCACGTTCAGCCCTCAGCTTTTCAAAGGGCAAAGGAGCCTCCAGCTCTTGCATCCTGCTACTGTAATATAAAAACAGTTTATTTATCAATAAACAGAAAGTTGGCCTGCAGCAAAGCATTTTTGTAAGCAGGTTCAGGAACTCCAGGCCACTCCCTGCTGCTCTTGCCCAAAGACAGGTGGGGTTCCAGGGACGGCTTGCCACGGTGCTTCAGTGGCAGCCCTTCTTTAGGTTTGGCTGCGAGGAGACTTGTGACTATGTGGCTGGAATACGGGGCATATTTTTACGTGGCTAAGTTTACTTGTTTCCTAGGGATGCTGTAACACATTACCATGCACTCACTTGGTGGCTTAAATCAACAGAAATTTATTCTCTCACAGTTCTGAAGCCAGAAGTCTACATGCAAGGTGCCAGCACAGTTGTGCTCCCTCCTACGTCTCGAGGGGAGAATCCTTCCTTGCCTCCACCAGCTCCGGGTGGCTCCCGCATTCTTTGGCTTGTAGACGCATCACTCCAATCTGTGCCTCTGTCTCCACATGGCCTTCCCCTCCCTGTGCCTCTGTGTGTCCAAATCTCCTCCTCCTTTCTCTTATAAAGATACTAGTTGTTAGATTTAGGGCTCACCCCACATCCAGATGATTTCATCTTGAGATCCTGAACTAATTATATCTGCAAAGACCCTATTTCCAAATAAAGTCACATTCAGAGGTTCCAGGTAGACCAGAATTTTGGAGGAGGACACCATTGAACCCACTACACTAAGCATTTGGCAAGAAAGGAAGATGCATTTATTGTTTTCTAATAATAAGGGCCATGGGAACCTTTTTTGAGAAGGTTTGCTCATTTCTTAAGGTATTTGCTTCCTGCTCTAAAGAAAGGTTTGATGCAATTTACAGTAAACACACAGTGCAGACATGCTGAATCATTAAAACAGAAAGGCAAAAGTCAATTAATAAACAGGAAGGGGAAGTAGATTTGATATCCAGAAATCTAAGTTGAACAAAGGACTGGTTCTTGAGCTCCCTAGCAGTTAAGTAGAGATGGCCACCTGATGGGTTATATTGACACAGCTCTCATCTTTTATTAGATTGTAAGGCGAGAGACAAACTTTGCCCTGATTCTGAGTGCAGAAAGAAAGTTTTCCCATGGGAACCCAGAATTTTAGGAAAACGTGGAGGCCTTCCTGAGACAGGTTCTTTTAGTAGCTCTCCATAAAAACTGAGACACAGTGTTTGTTAAATTGTAGTCATTTAAGGGCAATTATGACATGAAGGGACAAGGAAGGAATGGGTACAAGGACATGGTTTTGTGATACAAGGATAACGTATAGAGAAGCATAAAGGGTTAATACTTAACAGATCCCTTGGGGCTGGGGCTGGGCGGTGGGTTACACCTATAGCCCGATCCTATGTTCACAACTTCCTAAATGATTTTCAGTTCATCTCATCGATGTAGTTCAGCCTTGGTGCTAGGCCTGATGGAAGTTTCCTGGCCCTCAGGAGCCAGAGTCCTAGAGAAAGGTTCCAGTGGCAGTTACTGGGAGGGCTCAGGGCCAGAGGCAGGTCACAGAGAAATCATAGATGAGGCCATTAAGAAGTCCTCAGAGGGTGGGTCCTGGCTGAAATTGGTCCCAGAAGTCTGGAACTTTAAGTTTCAGGCAGTAGTAGTTTACATTTTTATATTATTAATACATGAACTCTTGTGGGCAAAAATGAATTTATCTCTGGTATACCTAAATTTTGCTTTTACTCAAGCCTTCATTGTCTGATGTCAAAAATTCGTTCTGTTCATGTCCAGATAAATGCGGCCATTTTTGTGATTTTTCAGACATTTTATACTTAAACTCTGTCGATTTCATAGTCTACCCAACCTCAGTACCTTGATCGCTGGGGTTGCTGCTAGAACCAGGAGGTTTGCACAAGGAGCACATGGCCCACAGTGTCGTGGGAGAGAGCTCCACCTCTCCATCTTCCTCCACTTCCGCTCTGGTCTAGTGTCTTACGAGATACCACATGCCCCATCCGGCCCCTGTCTCCATCTCTGCCACGGCGTCATCTTCTGAGACATCACTGGGTCTTCATCTGATCCCCAGGTGACAGACCCCTCAGCATCCTCTTCTGTAGCATCAACTTCTTCTCAGCCAATCCTGTGCCCTGTTCAGCAGCTGGTGTGCAGGCCGAGGAATTCTTAGAGCTCTTCAACTCTGCTCCGGGACCGCAGGAAATGTGGGTGGCTTCTCTGTCCCTCTCGCTCGGGAACACATTCATGTCTCCATTTCTGCTCCATAGCTGCTGCATCAGGGTGCACCTGGGAAATGAGGGCACAAGCACTCTCTATACTAAGACCCCAAAGTTTAAAGAGGGAATCTGCTTCTCCCCACAAGGACTTGGCCTTAGGAGGCATAAGGGCGGGATCTCCCAAATGCATATGGTAAGGTCAAAAACACGAACTCTAGGCCCAGGTTAATTGGATTCAGATGTCAGCTCCATCATTTATTAGCTGTGGGGCTTTGGGAAAGTCTCCAAAGAGGCTACTGAACCTCTCTTCATCTCAACTTCTCATCTGTAAAGTAGGATTATGCAGTGCTACCTTGTAAGTTTAAATGGGACAATATATTATACATACATATGCATATAAGTAAACAAATATAATTACATATGCATGTCTCCTTCAGAACAGAGCCTAGCACACTGGAAGGGTTATATAAGCCTTAGCTGTTAGGATTCTTAGCAATAGTAGTAGAATTAGCTTTATTCCATCTTTGACTCTTTTCCCTTCCCTCTCCCTCTCACCCCACAGTTTACAATCTCTCATCTTGCCTCTTGAGGTGGGGAAAAGCCTTATTCAGACTGGATTCTTCCTATTTCTTTCATCTACACCCAGACTATAGCTTTTTGGGGTTAATCTAAGGATTTGGCATCTTTATTTTCAATGATCTTTGATGACAATGGCCATCAATGCTGGTCTCATGTTTCGGAGTCCAAATGAGGACAGTTATGGGGTTAGGGTACATGTGGGGAAATGCAGGTGTTAATGTCCCACATGGTCCCTTCCCCAGACAGTCTCCAGGAATCCTGGTTGGGGGCGCCGGGTTACACCGAGGTAGTTTGGGGAGAAACTGCAGTCTGGTGGTGGCTGCATCTCTGCCTCTGCCTCCCTGTGCAGGACTCAGGAGTCGACATTGGGGACATCACCGCAAGGAAGGCTCTGAGGAAACAGCTGCAGTGCAAGACCTTCCGGTGGTACCTGGTCAGCGTGTACCCGGAGATGAGGATGTACTCGGACATCATTGCCTATGGGGTGGTAAGGAGCCAGCCTCTTTGGGGTTTCATTCAGACACAGACAGAAGCAAGAACTAAGAGAGAGAGGCATAGTGAGGAAGGGGAAAGGAGTGAATGAGCCTCTCAGCCGCCCACGGGGTGACCCGCGGCAGACCTGGGGACTGTGCGCTGGTTTCCGGACCTGCGAGCCAGCCTTTGCTTTCCCAGGCAGAACGCCTCCAGTGCCCTGAGAGAGGTACTTGTCTCTCCTTTGTAGTCCCAAGCTATTCAGCTCTGGCTCCAAACCTACCTATTCCACTTAACAAAACACATAATAAAGCAGTTAGCTTAAGACTGTAAGGTGGCGCCTGCCATTCTCCTAGGTGTGAACCTGAGGTTCTGACAGCTGCCTGTGCCTCCCACCCAGGGGTTATGCCATCCCCTTGAACACAGAGCCTCCCTGAAAGCAGCTGTGGGAAACAGCACCTTCTTGAATGTGCTGTATTTTGCTGTATGTTTAGTACCGCTTGTCGATAGGCACAGAGCAGTTGCCCAGATGGGAGGTGGCAGGATGGAGGGACCAGAGCGTAGGGTTTGGAGTCAGACAGACCTGGTTCAAATCTTGACCAGGCCACTTCTCAGGCAAGGGTCTAAATCTGTGGGCCTCAGTTTCTTCGTCTGTTAAATGGGGTAAATTAATACTGTGCTCACAGGGTAGAAGGAAGTCTAAGATACATAGATGTATTTTCTGTCTAAGGTTAAAATACTTAGATCATGATAAACTCTCCTATTCTCTCAATATCAGGGCCATTAAGGTGAAATGCCACATGGCATTTTAAATGATACCTGATTGATTTTTGGCTGTCTTTCCTGGTTTTTGCTGACTTCCAGTCCTAGCACATAAGGTTTTTCTACAACAGTGATACCCTTGAGACTGCTCTGTAGGGTTACTTATATTATCTCTGTGTTACGGATGAGGAAACAGAGAAGCAGAAAAGTGACATGCACATATTTGCACAGATAATCAACAGTGAAACTGAATCTAAAACAGCAGTTTTTGAGATCACTCTGGTCCCTCACTTTGGAGAGTGTCCCCATAGACCTTTTTTGATATCCCAGGATAAAAACTTGAAGGAAGAACGAAGGCCTCTTCCTATGATGAGCTGTGGTCAGAGCTGAGTTCAGACCTGCCCCAGTGGGGACCGTAATGGGCAGAGCGCTTACCTGGGAGTGGGAGGAGTCCTTGCTGAGAGATTGGCATCACGGGCCTCCCAAGTTTTAAATCCCAAGAAGCAGACAGTGCTGGGATCCCAAACCCCCAGGGTCTTTGTTGTCCAGGAGACCAGCATGTGGCGGAGAGTCTTCTCCTCCCAGAAGAGTCCCCATGGTATGGTTGACATGTTCCAAGAGAACCACCCAGTGGCCTCCTGCCTCTGCACATATCAGGCTGGTGAGATTCAATGTAGAAAACACCTCAGCAGTGCTGCTCAGGTAGTCCCCGTGTCTCCAGATCCAGTTGTCACCTTGGAAACACACTGCACTGTAAGGTCCCCATCTGTCCCGTCTACCTCCCCAGAACCATCCTGAGGACACAGCTGCTACCAATGCCCCCACACTCTGCCCCATAGCAAGCCGTGTGTGCTGCTTGGCGGTTGTTGGACCCAGTCCTCAAAGGGTAGTTATGCTACTGGGGCTCCAGGGAAGGTATTGGCCCCAAACCTCTGTGAGCCAAGGCCAGCTTCTGGACTCATGTTCTCAGCCGGCTGTGTGCTGTAGCTGAGCAGGATTAGCCAAACTCACACAGAGGCAGAGGAAGCAATGACAGAGGAGGTGTGCACGTGTGGCCTTTGTAATTCTGCATCTTGGCCAAAGGCATTCTCATCCTCCAAGCAAAAGGGTCTCATCTTATGTACAGGTGCAGCAGGTTTATAATGCAGCCTCTCCATGCCACTCGCAGAAACATTTGGCTTGTCCCATAGTAAGGGGCCTGTAGAGGGCTGTGATCTGGATCTGTCTGAGTCCATAGCTCGGGCTGTTTTCACTCTCCCGCTGAAGCCATCCACTCATCCCCCTAGGGCTTGCGGAGGTCTCCGATCCCCTGCACGACCCCTAGCCACGGCCAGGGCCCAGCCAACCTCCCTGCCCTCCCCACTCCTCCACTGCCTGGGCTCCTACATGAACAGAGACATGCTTGCCTGTCAAGGAGCATAATGAGCTCTTAATGGGGGCACCAAGGTGAAGGTGGGCAAGGCAGGATGCAGCCACGAGAGCAGGAGGATTGCTGGGTCTGAGTCATTCTTCCTGGCAATCATTTTTATTCTAAAATGAAGATACCAGATGTCTTTTCACGGGCGGAGTTTCCTTCTTCTTTTTCTATTCCAACTCATGCCCAAACTACATTGTTCAGGTCAAATAACTTCTGGGACTCTCAGTGGGGCCAATATCCAGCCTAGACCCCAGGTCATTAATCCACTAATAGGTCCCATTAGTGAGACCTGCAGGCAGAAAGACCTGTGGGCTCCACAGTGTGGCACGGGTGTCCCCTGGATTGTTGAGCATAAAGATGAAGGAGCTTCTGGAAACAGACATGCCTGGCTTCTGAACATCACCTTTGCCACTTACTTACTGGCCGTGTGACCTTGACAATGTGCAAAACCTTAATGGTCATAGTAATGCCATGTCGTAGGGCATCTTTTACAGTCTCAGGATTGCAGCCATTTGCATGATGGAAAGAGCTTGGGTTTTGGAGTCAGATGCCAGCTCTGCCACTTGTCTGGCTCGGGTGCTGTTCATCTGGGAATGCCGTTCATTTCTTAGTTTTCTTCACGCACTCACTCGACAAGCATTGACGGTCTACTGTGTCCCCTGGCCCATGTGACATACAGTGAGAGAAACAGACCCTGTCTAGTGACTAACAGCGGAGACAGGCAAGTGAAGAGGCAACAAGAACACGATGTGCTAAGTGCCCCCATGAGAGAAATGGGGTGCTGGGGGAGCGTGGAGCAGTGGTCCCCACCCAGCTGGGGTCAGGGAAGATTCCAGAGCGGCAGATGAGCTGAGAACAAAGGAAGAGGAAGACTTCGTCAGGCAAAGGGAAGGCCAAAGCAGAGGGCAACGTGGGGCCGTGTGCGCACAGGGGGACAGCATTACAGAGAAAAAGGAGAGCAGAGCTTGTCACTACACCACAGTGTCTTCCCCTTTAAAAGAGATAATATTATATCACCAGCCTGGCTGGTTATTTTTGAGAATTAGGTGAGATACACATGGAAAGTATGACACATGGTACCTGGCACATAGATGTATTTGCAAAAGCTGGTTTCCGTGAATGGCTTTCAGGAAGGTTGTAGCAGAAATAATGGCAGCTAACAATTATTGCACATTTGTTATTTGCCAGGCCCTATGCTGAACACTTGTAGATATTGTTTCGCTTAATCCTCAAAGCAGCCCTGTGAGGTAAGCACTGTTATTATTCCTGTTTTAGAGAGAAGAAAACAGTCGGGAAGGAGTTATGCTGCTTTGTCCGAGACTGCACAGCTGGAGCCAGACTCCATCCTAGCCTGTGTCTCCCAGCCGCTCCAATACACCACCCACTTTAGCGGGGTGGGATGACACAGAGCCAGGGGGGACTTTATCAGAAGACACCCACTCCCTAACCCAGGGGCTGGCTTTGAGAACCCAGGGGAAAGCGAAGCCTAACATCGGGGCTCCGTGGGCCTTTCTCTTTGCAACAGCAGTTAACAGGTTTCGCTAATGGGTCACAGTGCTTGGCTTTGGATATGACACCCACCTCTCCGTGGGCTGCAGGACAAGAACAAAGTGTGTTTACACGTGCTCTTCCCACAAAGGCAAGCCAAGGAGTGGATTTATAACAGCGGGTTTGCTGCGTAGATGCTACTGGGGAGTTGGCACATGTTCACATGATATTTCTCCAGAATCTCTAAACTTTAAATTGAGGATTAAGCTGCTGTCACTCAGTAAAGGAAAGGAAGCTTAAGAGAAAATAATTTGACTCTGTTCCTTGTCCCCTGTTAAAAATAGGATATGCACAGAGCACACGTGGGCCTGGTGATCTGTCCATTTCATGCCCCTTAATTGGGTTCATTCCACTCCTTCCACAAGCTGTCAGGACTACGAAAGCCTAACCGCTGTCTGTGACTGGCCTCCCCCAAAGAGATGGCCCACTGTGACCCCCTGCCCTTGGCTTCCCTTCATTCTGATCTCCAGCCCCCTGTTCTAAATAGAATGCTTTGATTTCTAAGAGGAGAAACCCAGTTAAGCTAGCTTGAGTTAAGGTGAGAGTGGAGTGAAGATACCACAAACTCTCTTATGGGACAGGAACTGAGGAACAGGTGGACACAGACACTCCCACTGGGAGGCCACTAAAGCCCCAGCAGGGGCAGGGTGGTCTCTCTTGTCTCCAATTCTATCTGCCTCGGGCATTGTGCATCCTCGATAGCACCTAGCTTTCTCTGCTTGAACATGGCCCAACAGATCCCCCACTCCAGTCCAAATGACCTTGCATCTTGTTGCTGCCATCCGCTGACCAGTCTCTGGGTCCCATTTGGATTCCTAAGACAGGATAAGAAAATGATGAGATGATCAAATTCCAGAGCAAGGAAGGGAGGAGAGAGAGGGAGAGAAAAGCAATGATTATTAATGCATTCTAGACTGTGGGTTGGGGCCCACCAGGGTCTACTCAGCTGTGGCTGGTGAGCGGGGCCCTGTGGACTTTAGGTTGCCTTTATAGGGCTGAGAGTGGACTTAAGCAAGAAGGGGACATTGAATACTGGCCCTCTTACCCAGGCATGCTCTGTGGATTGCCAAGACTGTGGGTGCATGCACCTACAGGTGAGGGTAAGAGATACCTCTCTCTTCTCCTGCTCCCACCCAGGCGCCCTCTTTTATTCTCCCACCAGACCTCCCCCTTTGGATGCCCTTCAGCAAGATGGGCCAACATAGGGCCTGGCCAAGCCACTGCTGGATCTGCAGGAGGCAAGAAGGCCTGGTTCCAGAAGACCTCCCAGGCCTAAAAACAGCTAACATGTTGCCTTCCCCCCACCACCACCGTGCTCAAAAGCAAAGACGTCTCTCAGGGACCCTTGAAGGCCATTGTGCCACCCTAGGGAAGTGGAGATGGTGAAGGACCAGCACCATCTTGTGTGTGCACATGCACGTGTATCTCCTGTTTTTACCCAGACTGTCTCAGCTTCCAAGACCCAGCTTGCTGTTTAATGACATGTAAATGTTTCTCCTTCAAAGGAGGCCCGTCTCCTCTCAGCACCTTTATGTAAAGCAAAAGCTGTTGCTTGTTGGTTCCGTAGTATTCAAGGGGCTGATTATGGAAATGGAGTCTGTCTCATTGGAATTCTTGTTTCTCCGAAGTTAATGCATTTGCTTTCCTGTTCCTCTTTTATTTTTGGTGTGGCCACCTCTCCTCTGACATTCAGCTGCAGAATTCCCTGAAGACAGATTTGTGTCTTGATCAGGGGCCGGATACAGAGAATGTTCCCATCATGTACATCTGCCATGGAATGACACCCCAGGTGAGTCCTCTAAGAGATGCCTGTGCTGGGAGCCTGCATGTGAGTGCCTGGCGTGGGGAAGAATATCTAAACTCTGTCCTGGCTGCTCTGGGACCAGGCGTCTCTGGGGCTTTTCATCAGGAAGTATCCTCGTGAGCAGGTAGTTACACCTGCCTTGCCTGGAAGTAGGCTGGGGAGTGGGTGCTAGGATTCCAGGATCCTCTGAGATGGGAATGAAGAAAGGGGGTAAATTTCTAAAGAGAAACACCTGCTTCTTTTGGATAAACTTTACTCTGTTTTGAGTAAACAGGACATCAGTCCTGTTTCTGGCAGTCAAGCCATTCCCTAGCAGGAGGGAGTCCAGGGATTCCCCCAAGCTCCTCGAGATGTCAGAGTCCCTTTATATGCCCTGGCATGGTCTTCAGGTCTGTCCTTCAGTAGATCATAACCGGGGCAAAAATCTATAGCCATGGGACTCCTTTCCAGCTCTTCTGGTCTTCTCCTAGTGGAGAATGAAGGGCAGCTACCAGGAAAATAAGTTATCCTTAAAAATTCCCCATTCATAATCTAGGCTTCAGATACCCAAAGAGGATGCCAAGACACATGCAAAAGAAATGGTTTATTCCACAAAGTACAATAGACAACCATTGACCAAGAATGCCATAGACCGACCTGTTCTGAATTGATAAAGTTCCCAGAGTTTACTTAACTCCAGAAGTGCACAATGATTACTAAAAGATATTTTAGTATATAAGATGTGTATATGTGTGCAATTGCAATTCTGTTTTTAACAGAGCTGTTATCTGCCAAAACACATGACTGAAGGATATCACGCTGTGTGTTAACCCATGATGAGACTTCCAGGGGACTGTCTGTTGTGATCTCTACCATCTTGTCCTTTTTGTGGGCTGAGTTGCTCTGACATCACAGGCTGGTCAATTGCAGATCATGCTCTCTACATACCATGCAGTGTGGCAAATCATTCTTCACTGTTACAATGGTGCAGCATTTTTAATGGGTGACTATCTGTGTAAACTTTTTATTGAAGTATAGCATATATACAGAAATAGACTTACAAGTGTACAGCTTAATGAATGAACATACCCATGTCACCAACTTGAGAAAAAGAGTATTGCTGCCTGATTTTGAATTTTACATATATAGGATCATATGGCATATACTTTCTCATGTTGGTTTCTTTCTTTCTTTTGTCATTATATTTCTGAAATATATCTTTGCTATTATATGTAGTTGTAATTTTTTCTTTTTTTATTACTATGTAGTATTCCATTTTATGAATATACCATAATTCATTCTCTATTCTACTGTTGATGGACACTCAGACTATTGCCAGTTTGGAAATATCATGAGTTCTGCTGCAATAAGCATCCTTGCTCGTGTCTTTTGGTGCACATATGTACTCATTTCTTTTAGATTTATGCCTACAAGTAGAATTGCTGGGTCATATGTTTACTTTTAGTAGATACTACCTGTATTAGTCTGCTCAGGCTGCCAAAACAAAATATCACAGGCTGGGTGCCTTACACCACGGAAACTTATTTTCTCACAGTTCTGGGGGTTGGGAAGTCAAGATCAAGATCTGGCCAATTCAGTTTCTGGTGAGGGCTCTCTCTCTGGCTTGCAGATGGCCACCTTCTTGGGTGTCCTCACGTAGGGGAGAGGGAGACAGCATGCACGAATGAGTCCTCTAGTGTCTATTTCTTATAAGGACACTAATCCTATTGAATCAGAGATCTGCCCTCATGACCTCACTTAACCATACCTTGAAGACTTGGAAAATTCTCAGCCTAGCCACACTGCAAAAAAATGTGAAAGCTTGTTCTGAAGAGAATGCTAAGGGTGTGACTCATGGATTTAGTCAGCCATCCCAACAGAAGCCAGGAATAAAGATGAGGTTACACCAATAGAGGCACTGCCAGTTTGAACTAAAGGGGAAGAGAAGGTGGGACAGAATGAAGGAAGGTTGTTGGCTTTCGTTTCTATAGGACCACGTAGGCCATGGAGCTATTTGGCTGCAAATGTGCACTATTCCTCAAGAAAAGGGGAGAATCATGCTGAAGGCATTTCAGGGATCATCAGAGCTGCCACTCCCAACATAGGTGCAGCGGGTAGGGCTACCCAACAGAGCCATGCAGTGACACTGCCACCCCAGTGGGCCTGGAGGGCAGACCATTGAGCCAAAGGACTATTCTCAAGCCTTAAGATCTAATGGAACTTGACTTGCTAAGGTTTTGGACTCGCTTAGGACTAATTACTCTTCCTTCATTCCAATTTCTCATTTTGGAATGAGAATAGCTATTCTATGCCTACCCCACAGTTGGATTTGGAAGCATATAACTTGCCTAACTGCACAGGCTCACATTTGGAAAGGAATGTTGCTTTGGGATGAATTGTACTTTGAGTCTCACCCATACCTGATTTAGATGATATTTAGGTGAGACTTTGGACTTTAGAGTAGATGCTGGAATGAGTGAAAACCTTTGGGGATATTGGGATGGAATGGATGTATTTTTCATGCCATAAGGACATGCATTTTGGGAAGCCAGGGACAGAATGTTATGAACTGCACTGTGCCCCTCGTCCAAATTCATATGTTAAACCCCTGACCCTGGTAGTATTTGGAGTAAGGAGGTAATTAGGGTTAAGTGAGGTCATAGGGTGGAGCCCTGATCTGATAGTGTCCTTATAAGACTAGACACCAGAGAGCTTGCTTGCGGGTGCTCTCTCTGCCATATGAAAGACACGGCAATCAGGCAGCCACCTGCAAGCCGCAAGCAGGCCCTCGGCAGAAACCGAATTGGCCAGCATCTTGATCTTGGAGTTCCCAGCCTCCAGAACTGTGAGAAAATAAATTCCTGTTATTTATGCCACCCACTCTATGGTATTTTGTTGACAGCCTGAGCCAAATAATACCCTACCAAACAGTTTTCCAAAGTTGTACCAATTTTTACGCCTACCAGCTTTATATTTGAGTTCTAGTTGTTCTACATCCTTGCCAACATTTGGTATTATCTCTATTTTAAACTATAGCCATTGCAGTGGGTGTATAGTGCTAACACGTTGTGGTTTTAATTTGCATTTCTCTGATTATTAAGGTTGAGCACCTGGGTTTTCAGCTCAGAACATCCCCATGTTGTTCTTAAATATGGGCCAAGGTGACCAGGTCACAAGTAGTTGGCCTTTCTGTAAATTCCCTCCCCGCTTTCTAATACTTATGAATTTTTTTTTTTTTTTTTTGAGACAGAGTCTCACTCTGTTGCCCAGGCTAGAGTGCTGTGGCATCAGCCTAGCTCACAGCAACCTCAAACTCCTGGGCTCAAGCAATCCTACTGCCTCAGCCTCCCGAGTAGCTGGGACTACAGTCATGCACCACCATGCCCAGCTAATTTTTTCTATATATTTTTAGTTGTCCAGCTAATTTCTTTCTATTTTTTTTTTTTTAGTAGAGACAGGGTCTCGCTCTTGCTCAGGCTGGTCTCAAACTCCTGACCTCGAGCGGTCCTCCTACCTCGGCCTCCCAGAGTACTAGGATTACAGGTGTGAGCCACTGCACCCAGCCTAATACTTACAATCTTATCTGGACCACTGGACAAATGTTCATTGTTTCCTCTCTGGGATGGTGAGTGTTGGCCTGAACAGAGGTTGCCAGTCCTCTACCAGCTGCAGATGATTCAATATGGGGCAATCTGTGTAGTTAGAGCATGGATTCTGGGGCCAGACTGCCTGAGTCTAAATGCCAGCTTTGAAACTTGACCTATTTTCTTAGTTGTAAAATGTGGATTAATGACAGTATATACTATAAAGTTTGTTATGAGGATTTAATACCTGTGAAATATTTAAAATAGTGCCTGGCACATAGTAAGTACTCAATAAATGTTAGCTATTAGTACTGCTGTAATGATAGTGTTACCATTATTACTCCTCATTGAGCCTCCCTCTGGCTCTGTAAATACCCTCAAGTTTCTAGCTGCAACCCACACTGGACTGACTTTCCTTGACCTTGTGTGCATCTGCCAGGTGTGCCTGCCCTGGTCCAAACTTATCCATGGATTATTGGAACATCACTGAGCCACTATGGCAGCAAAAATGCAGTAGAGTCAGGAAAAGGGCAGTGAAGTGGGTGTCAGGAGGGCTGAGTCCAAGGCTTGGTCTTGCCACACATTTGCAATGTCACCTTACCTTTCTCTGGGCTTTTGTTTTGTCTTACTCTTTTATTGGGGTATAATTTTACACTAAAGTACACAAATCTTAAGTGTACACTTGAATGAATTCCTAAATTTGTATACACTGTACAGTTACCACCCAGATCAAGCCCATCATCCCAGAGGGCTTCCTCATTGGTCCTCTTGGTCAATATCTGCACCCCAAGGTGATGACTGTCTGCTCTCCCGCTCACCATTGATTAGTTTCTCCTGGACCTGTCTTCCTGTCTGCAAATGACAAAGCTGGACTGAGCCATCTCTAGGCCCAGTTCCACCAGCTCTGACAATCTGCGTATTTCCAATTCCTTTGTTCTGAAATTCGGTTGGCCCGGGAAGCTGTGAGTCTGTGCTGTGCTTGCGGGAATGCTGGGAGCTGCCTTTGTAAATCAGCTTCTTGACATGAAGCTGCAGCAAGTCTTGAAGACTCGAGTCTCTCTTCCCCAAAGCCGCAGAACACTTGTGCAACTGGGCCGTACAGGGAACATTGAGGCCCCTTTCCCACCAGACTGTGCTCAGATGCATGGCTGTCGGTGCCCGAGGTAAGGAGGCTTGGAACCAGCCTCAGATCACACACATTTCCCAGAACAAGAAGGTGTGGGGGCTCTGCGGTGGGAGGAATCTGTTGAGGCTGGCATGCCCAGTGAGCTGGGAGAGCCAGAGAGGACTGGCTTATCCTGGGGATGGGCTGAGTGTCCCTGAAGTTCCCTACTTCCACCCAGGATGAGAACCAGGCAGGGGATGAGCCATGGGGGAGAGGCAGGGATTCTGGCTGGCGAGGCTTCCCAAAGGCATCTTCCG